TAGGGTTTGGGGTTTGGGGCTCAGAGCGTCGGGCTTGGTGCGTGGAGCTTAGGGTTTGGGGGGTAAGGGTCTGCTGCACCTAGATGCAGAGAGAACTTGGCGTATGTTCGGCCAGTGTGGCCAGTGCTGCTGTTGCTGTTTCTCCTCGTACCACTCTTCACACAACCACCGCAACCATTACTACACTGTGGCCTAGGCTATNNCTGGGGTACATAATATATGGTTAGTAGCCCACTATTTAGGTAACTGGAGCCCTAGGCTATGGATTGTTTGAAGTTTCTGGCTTTTTGATCGAAATTTAGGGCGCCTGCTCTCCTCGGAAACTTTCCTGTTGACAGGGATCGTTCCCTTGCGGGCCCTTTCTCGATGGGGCCCAACACGGAGACTCTTTACTCGATCGATCCGACACTTGCTAAGCTGGGTTCTTGTTAGGGGATTTAATTTGAGTTACCATAATAAAGAAACCATATCACTTACTATAGATCCCCATTATGGTAACTTAAATAAAATCCCTTAACAAGAACCCAGTAAGAGCAGCAGCCGGAAGGTTGGAACATAGAAGAAGTGTCTCGCACGCCTTTTCCCGCCTCTTCTCTGGCGTGATTTGCCACTTGCTGTCGAACTGAAACCCTTAACTCTAAACCCTAAACCTAAACCCTAAACCCATAAAGTTTACAGGGCTCTAGGGCTTCGGGTTTTGGGCGCCAGGTCGCATCTCCGAGCGCGCTGACCTGCTCCAGAACCTTGGGTCACGGAGAGATGTGCTTACCGGGAGTTTAGGGGTTTAGGGGTTTAGGGCAAAAAATCAAAGTCCTACACCCGAAACACCTAAATCCTAAAACCTGAGCCCCTATAATACATATATATATATATACACACACACACACACCTTTGAGCTCTAGAAACCCTACTGAAGGGCTCAACGGACTTAGTACGCAGGGTCATAATAGGGGTGATAAGTGCCCTAAGTTGGGTGATCCTAGCCTTACTTATACCGTTACCGACACCCTTACTCTGGTTCTCTAAATTAGGTTCCCTTTTTTAAACCCTCAACATGGCGCGGCACCCGTATAAAAAAGGACTCTAAAAGCGAACCTTATTCAGAGAACTACTAAACCCTAAACCCCAAACCCTAAACCCTAAACCCCTAACCCTAAACCCCAAACCCCCAACCCTATGAACACCCCAAGCCCCAAACCCCAAACCCCAACCCTAAACCCTAAACCCAACAAACCCTAAACCCCAAACCCTAAACCCTAAACTCCAAACCCTCAAACCCTCAAACCCCAAACCCCAAACCCTAAACCCCAAACCCTACAAACCCTAGACCCCAAACCCCAAACCCTAAACCCCAAACCCCAAACCCTAATCCCCCAAATCCTAAACCCCAAACCCCAAACCCTCAACCCTTTAAGTAAAGCCCCAGGCTTCGCCACCGGGAGGCGGAGGCTTTGGCCGGATCCGCCTTGTCGAGTCCGGGCTTGACATCGAGCCAGAGGGAGCTTTCGGTGACCTCCTGGGTTTATAGGGGTCTTTAGAACGGTTTATAAGGGGTTTAGGGTGTAGGATTTAGCTAGTTCAGGAATTTAGGGTGTGGGGTGTAGGGATTTAGTTCAGGAATTTAGGGTTTGGGGTTTAGGGATTTACTTCAGGAATTTAGGGTTTGGGGTTTGGGGTTTAGGGTTTTGGGGTTTAGGGTCCAGGGTTTCGGGGACCTCCTGGGTGATCGAGGTCCCTAAAGGGCTTGCAGGGCTTAGGACTTAGGACGGCTTGTGGGGCTTACAAGGCTTGAGAGGCCTCGTAGGGTTTGTTTGTCGGGCTGGCAGGGCTTGTAGGGAATGTAGGGTCTACAGTGTTTAGAGTTTAGAGGTGTAAGAGGTATGGGTGACCTCCTTTTTGCGGCTCGCGGAGGGTTTAGGGTTTAGAGTCTAGGGTTTTGGGTTTCCGTGACCTCCTCTTTTTGCGGTGTCTAAGGTCGAAAGGGCTTGATTGCGGTATGAGGGCTCCATAAGGTGTTTTGTCAGGTTGTATGGCATTTCATACGGTATGTAGAGCCTCATACGACCCTTTAGGGCATTGTACGGATGTACAAGGTTCATAGGGTCCAGCACCTGTTGTTGTTGGGGTTTAACTGGCTCATGTCTTTCAGACTTGTTTGTGCAGCCTAAACCTCTGGACCGCAAGACTCGCATAGAAAGCGAGACATCATGCTACAATGCTGCTGGTCCAGCAGTTCTAGGCTCAAGGCTTAAGGGTTAGGGTGATGCCACTCTTCCAAGTTCCTGTCTTCGCTTGCGTGCTGCTTGACTTGACAACGCAAAATCATATCCCCATTTCCCCGCTTGCCCACCCCTCAAAAGAACCCCTAGAACTATAACCCATCTTACTACCCTACTTACTACGTCACTACGTCACAGGGGCGGCCAAGTACTCATATCGATGCACGTGTGTGTCCATGCGCGTCTGAGCTTGCCTGTGCTCCTTTTGCGAGCCTGTGCCTGTGCCTGTGCGTGCCTGTGCATGCCTATCTGTGTGCGTGTGTGTCTGTGTCTGTGGGAACTTGATCGAATGCTGAGGGGGGAATGCAGGGTTAAAGTTTCCGTTTTGGGTCTTGAGGAGCAAGCGTAAAGTTGTGGTTTGTCCTGGCCTCATAGACCCGCTCGCTCTCCACGGTGCTGGCTTCGTCGTCCCTTTGCTCCTGCCACAGTAAGGGCAAAGGCTTTGTATGTCGGCACGGATGGAGACAAGCCGAACAAGCATGGGGATACTAGTCGGATACTAGTAGCAGAACGGTCTACAACCTGGCTTTGAAGGCGAAGGCACCCGATCGCTCCTTCTCTTTGCACTTGAAACTCTTGATCTCATCCGCCTGTGCGGCTTTGATGTTGTTCTCCACGGTCGGAGCCTTCTCGTCGTTCTGGCCCTCTTCGGGGCTTTTACCGTCCTTGGAGTTCAAGTCATCGGACTGCCCCTGCTCCTCCTCCAGGCATGTCATCTCACCAGGAAAATGAGGAGTGAGCCCTGCTTGAGCTTCAAAAAAGGTCCCTGCGGCAGACACGCTTCGACAACCGGCAATTCGTCAAACGATTAGTTCCTGTGTAGGGCCCCTTTGTACGGGCCCTTTCACGCAGCAGCAGAGCACCACACCCCGACATCCGTTCAGTGAGTGCTTGATGGCCCGGCTGATCTGAGACGTTGGGAGAATGAGAACAGAAACTTATGGTCCTACGCATGGTAGTCAAACCACCACCACAGCCACGACAACCACCAACAACAAGATTATGGAGAGGCAGAAGAAGAACAACAACGTCGACGACGACAACGACAACAACAACAACAACCACCAAAATCACAGCCACTGCCAAACTCAAACGAAAACGACAACGACGACGACGACGACGACGACGACGACGACGCCCGCAGCAGCAGCAGCAGCAGCAGCAGCAGCAGCAGCAGCAGCGACCACCACCTCCACCACCACCACCACCACAACACCAACAACAACAACAACAACCACCAAAATCACAGCCACTGCCAAACTCAAACGAAAACGACGACGACGACGACGACGACGACGACGCCCGCAGCAGCAGCAGCAGCAGCAGCAGCAGCAGCAGCAGCGACCACCAGCAGCAGCAGCAGCAGCAGCAGCGACCACCACCACCACCACCACCACAACAACAACAACAGACAACAGACAACAGTCAACAGACAACAGACAACAAACAACAAACACCAGACAACAAACAACAAACAACAAACAACAAACAACAAACAAACAAACAAACAAACAAACAAACAACAATAACAGCATCATCAGCAGCAGCAGCTGAGGGCATTGCGCGTCCACCTCCCATTTCGATGGCGGGATTTCCGTGATGCAATCATAGCCGCCCAGGGCCTCACGACGCCGGGGCTTGCGGGTGCGTTGAGCTTGCTGGGCTTGCCACCCTCCACGGTGCTTTCTCTCGGCAGCTTGGCAGCTTGAAGGGAAGCCGAGGCCACAAAAAACTCGCACAAAACCGGTTTGGGTCTTTTGCAGCGAGTGCGATAAGATCTCGCCCGAAAGGTTCAGAGCATCGTGGTAATATACTGGGACGGGACGGTCCACCTCAAGCTTCAGGAGTTTGTCAATCGCGGTGCCGTTCCGCCTTCAAGGGGCACCCCGAAGACCTGGAAACCTAACTTCCATGTAGGGCTTAAGGTTTACGTTGCCCATGTCCTTGAGAAGCGAAACCCTTCTCAGCTTGGCAACCAGGAATCTTTGACATCT